AAAGCCGGGTATCTTTCTTGAAGAAATGCTCTAATTTGAGCACACAGTATTGGAGCAATATAGGAATCATGGACAAATTCTACAACTTAGAACAACAGATTAGATGGTTACAGTGGTTCCATTTGGCTTTAAAAAAAAAAAATCAATTTTGTCAGTACAATATACCAAGGAGTTTCTGGAAAGGTAATGAGGAAAGAAGTCTGAGAATTTTTTTCTCTCAGGTCCTCTAATCCTTTATGTTTTGCTTATCTTTCCACTTCAGCAGCAACTACTCCAATTAATGCAGGACTAGCACAAATTGGAATGCAAGGAGCTCTGTCAGTGGTAAAAACTCTGCCTTTATAGTGATCCAGGTCCTGGGTGCCTGGGGAACAAAGGCCCACGCTCAACTTAAACCCTAAACCTTGTCTAGTTGCAGAGCAACATTAGAATATAAATTTAACAAAGCTACTCTTACTGTGTACACAAAGACTAGTTGCCTACTTCTACTAGTAAAGACAAGAAACCACTTACTTTTTTCAGTTCAGTGTCCCTCTGGGATGTGGGACATAGTGAGAGAGAAGCATCGAGGGCATCAAAGGGATGGACCTGAAATTCAGGTACTGAAAGCCTGAGTGGAGATATTGCCAATTCTGGAAACATGCAAGATTTTGGTAGCCAATCAGAGAGCGAATGTTCCAGCCTACAAATTTGGGGGAAGGGGTTAGATGAAAAGACGAGGGGGAGGGAGGGGAAGAAAGAGAATATTAGGTTAATGCTGGATTTTTATTGTGACAGCATTATAGAATCTAGGACATATTGAGTGGACTGCTGTAACCATTTCCTTTGTTTACTGGATATATTTAAAGGGAGTTTGTTCTCCCACATAAGCATCAAAAGGTATATCTGAAGAAATACCAATGTTTGAAGTCTTTATCTTCTTCCAGAGCTAACCAAATATCTAGGGTGAGAAAATGGACCACAATAATTTAATTTATCATGACAAGCAGCACAGAAGGGCTGAAAGAAGCTATATTTGCAACATACAATCATCTACTGTTGTGTGTACATAAATAAATACATTCATATGTTGGCCATTTAGAATCTGTTGTTACACGGAGGCTGAGACAGACAAATGCTTAAAGGGATCTACCAAAACCCAAAAAGACAAACTGCCAGAATGTGGGGATGATGCCCATTAGAAACACTCACATTCCCACCATATATAGTAACTATCACAGGGTAAGACTCTTCTTACCTTATGTCCACACCCGTGGTCCTTGCAGCTTTGGGTCCCAGGACAGTCATGTGTGGTAACACAACATAACTGGTTCAAAAACAAATAAAAAGGCAGAAGTCAGGATTATACCATAAACAGGAGGAAAGACTTCGTTAGTATAATTTAGATGCCAAGAGGTACAGAAATGTCAAACTGTCAAGGTACCCTTTCTCTCTACCCCATCCCATAAAAAACCCAATGCAAGCTGTATTTGTCATTAAGGCCTAAGATTTTTTGACATATTACTCAGGAGAAAAGTACCTGGTACTATTTTCACTTAACAGAGAAGTAAGATGAAGAAACTCAGAAAAAAAATCAGAAGAGGAGGGAACATGTTTTAGTCTGCAAGCTGAAAATGGTTTCAAGAGAGCCTGGATTCTCTATTCCAAGATGTTTTTGTGACTGTTTGAAAAGTAAATTTAAGTTAAAAAAGCCTCAACAAACTTTGCAAAGTACAACAAAGGGTTTCCACAAGATTAAATCCACAACCCCCTTTATTCTTGTTGGAATGCTCTTTATAGAAGAGACTTGGATATCAATTAAGGACTATGCCTATTTTTTGTATGCACACAATTAGCGTAACAAGAGAAAAATTAAGTTCTTCAGTAATCTGGAACAGCCTTGACTTCATTTGTTAAGATTAAGTCATATCAACACTACAAAATGAAATCAACCTAATCTACATTGGCATACAGCCACCATAGTAACAACATTTCTTGTTCGTGTCTACACTTTGTTCCTTGTGTCAGTGGTGTGTGTTCTCCCCAGGAATGCTGTATCAACTGTACTGCCAGTATGGGGCACAGTGGGACAGCTCCTAAAAGCCAGTAACAGTAAGGTAAATAATGCAGGGTCTACATTGACACTGGGTTTACCTAAATACTTCAAATGTGACCATGCTGATTGGAGAAGTGGAGTTATCAAGTTGTCAAGCAGGGAAGTTGTGTCAGCAGGAGCAAAAAATTTAAGTGCAAATGCTTCCATAGTTAGGTTGACATAAGCTGCCTTCTTTCAAAGTAACTCTGTAGTGTACACCAGACCTAAAGTCCCTTATTTATTCTCTCCATGGGCTGATCGTGAAATAGTCAACCATAAGGTTATAAAGTGGAGACTTTGTTTTGTAAGTACGCCAATCTGTTAAGGAGCTTATATACTTTTGCCATAAATTACAGGCAGCATAGCAACAGTAGAAAGTTATGAAAAGCAGTTATACGTGTGGGGGGGAAGGGGGAAGGAGAGGGAGAGAATCATCAGGTATACAAGTGCCAGATGTACAGTGCTTTTTCTCTGCCAGTATTCTAGTCACTACTAGTCTGTTAGTGCTAGAATTTGAACTGGTAGTTTGTGCATCAAAATCTCACCTGTTGGTAACAAAATATTCTGCTTCATGCAGTAAAAAAAAAGTCAGGTATGAGTGATAAAATGTTCCACTCCCCTAAAAGTTTACTGCCTTTCTGAGAGTAATGTGGAATAAGGTTAATTAAAGTAAAACTTCTGATAACTACCAGGTAGCAAGGAGCTTCACAGGAAAGGAAAACCATTCCAATGTTCACTGCGTTTTCAGTTATGAAAGTGCCAAAGGTAAAATGAAAGAATCCAACTGGAAGGCAACTTTCATCACAAGGAAAGGTCTGTGTGAAGCTCAGGACTATGATAGATAAAGTCAAATCCTCTCCTGATGGGGATGGATGAATATTAGACTAGCAAAATATTTTTTGATCCTTTTAACTGTGGGCAAGAAGATGGTTACTTGACAGTGGTATATATTACAACAAATATTTATCTATAAAGCAAGAAATTGCTACAAGAATCTGTTCCCCCTTGCACTTCAGCCCAATTTAGAGATTGCACCCCTTTAAAAAAAAATTGAAAAGCTTACTAGTTTATCCAAATTTAGAACATTTTTGCAAGCTTATTTTTAAAATTGTATTTCATAGCCTTTGTTTTACATATATCAGCTGCCTTTTCCGCCCACATTTTCTTATGACCAAATCCTTCAAAATGCCATATAGATTCTACTTTTAAAATAGCTAATTTTTTCTGTGCTCTACATGAGTTTATTGAGCATTACCCTTTCCAATTATAGCATGCTGCAATGACTTCTCTTTAAAGAAGCTGTGAATGGGATAAAGAGTCACCAACAATTTTTCCTGACTTTAATAGCATCTTATTTCTTAAGCTAGAGTCAGCATACTGCATTTCAGACTCTTGTTATCTGTTCCGAGAAGTAGTTCGGTTTAACTTGGCTTCTCTCAATTAGTTAAAAAAAAAAAAAAAAAAAAAAAAAAAAGAGTGATTTTTTTAAAGTAGCCCTAAAGTAGTTGGGTTTAACTTGGCTTCTCTCAATTAATTAAAAAAAAAAAAAAAAAAAAAAAAAAAGAGTGATTTTTTTAAAGTAGCCCTTAGAGCCAAAGGTTAACTTTTCACTTATGTTAAATGACTAATAGGGAGCCTGATTTGTGTGGGATAAAGACTGATGCCCATAGAACTAAATTATCAAGGGCTCCATTCAGCATTAACTTCCCATGCCAAATGGTACATCTCAACTCAATATAATAAAAACTCACCTGATATACAGGTTATAAAAAGGTTTACATTTTTCTTAGGATGGTGGTGGTGATAAAGAGTTACCAACTCTGCTCAGTTCTCAAACTGTAGCTGGACCTGGTCACTCCAACACAATTATAAATCTGTATTATGGAAATCTGTACTTGAAATACAGCCTCAAGGTCTGGCAGAAAGAACACAGCTCCACAGGATGACTGATTATAAAATTGGTTCCATCAGGTATCATTCATCTCCATTCTTTTATTCTCAGGAGTTCTATTTTAAAAGCTTATGCTTTATTTGAACTAGTATAAAAAAAATTATAAATGCAATTTTGTAAATTCTCTTGGTCCACCAAGGTCTTGACATTAGTGGATTAAATAATTGACTAGCTCTGGCCAGCAAGTGCCACTTTGAACTTTGAGGTGTCTAGATCACAGACAGTGAAATTCATATAGTTATTTCTCTAGCAAGATTTCTGTTTATGCCAACAACAGGGACACAGATAGTGTTCCCAGTAAGGGGACAGCCTGGGTGTCTGCCAAGGAGAGATTCAAATGCGACCCAACTGATTAGCAGAGTGCCCACAGATGGCAGCATTTGTTTCTACTGCTGGTGTACAGTTGCATATGCCTTGGTCCACATAACATTTATTTCACACATGAATGGAAAAAGTTAGAGGGAACATTGGAAAACGATAAGCCAAATTCAACATTTCTTTATAGCTCAGTGACAGGCAAAATAATTCAGTTTATTTTATAGGCTTTTCTACAATTCTCATAACTGTAGTATTTGAGTACCTCTCAAACAGCCCACCACTGTGTGGTTATGCAGCAGAATTATTCTATAATTAGGACAACTATAGATGGACAACTGAGGCACAGAAAGTTCACACACAAAGCTTGTACCAGCTGCAGAATCAAAGGCCCATTTTTCCTCTTTCCCCATGTAAAACAAAAATGTCTTTTTATTTAACATAACTGGGGTGGGGGTGGGAGGAAGAAGGGCTTTAAATATAAATGAGGGAAGAATAGTTTGATAAGGCGGCCAAGACCATTCAGTGATCTTGGTGGAGCTGCACTTATGCCAGCAGTACATCTTGAAGAAATAGTAAATGGAATAGTCATACAAAACTGGTTATAGTTAAAAATTAATGTAGAACAATTATTAGAATGCAATTAAAAGTTTAACTGGGTACAATACAATTATTCCTTTCTGTTCAGATTTAAAGCTTGCACAGCTCGGTAAACCCATCTTGTCCATTGCTCAAGCTTAATAGTTAGTCCATGCATCTGAACAAAAAAAAAAAAAACCCCTTCCTGCTTCAAAAATCCAGAAACTCTGCAGTCATTTGGAACAGAGTTTAATGAAGTAGCTCACATTTCTGCAATATATATGCTGGGACTATGAGGTGTACGTATTGCAGGGAGAGAGAAGGTGATGAGATAATGGTCCTGCCAGAAGAGAAGATCATTAAAGAAACCAATGACAATGTATTCAAATTCATCCAAGGGAGGCAGTTCTGTCTGGAAGTGTTTTCTACTGAACCATTTCTTCAGTGGAGTGTGCAAGATTATACATGGACTACTGGAAACTGACCCTCTACTCTAAGCGCTAATATCCCTCTCCTCCCCAAAAAAAGCTGCAACTATATACACTATGTATTTATTCTCAGAAAGAAGTTGATGGATTTTTACCTGCTCTCGATGCCCAGACTTGGCTGCCACTTGCAGTGATTGGAATGGAGAGGAGTGAATTCGGAGGGACAGGCAGAAGGGCCATGCTGGATCCATAAGGCAAGTACCTTGCCCAGTGAGTTGGGCAATGAAGAGAAGAGGTCATCTGATACGGAATTTGGAGACCTTAACCCTGTCAAGCCCTGTGTGATTTGCGATATAAAAAGTCTCTGGACAGTAGGAATTCGACTGGTTACATTTCTTCTTCTTGTCCAGATCCTGTAACATTGAGGGGAAGAAAGTGCTAGCACTGTGTGAAGGCCAAGCATGGAGCACCCTGCTCTTTTAGCTATGGGATTTCTCCTACAATTATCACTAGAGGTTACAGCCTCTGTGGTGGTTAGAGACAGACCAGAAGAGTGCAGCTCATTACTGAGTTTGGTGTCTTCCCTGAAAGCTGTTATATCTGAGCAGCTTTGGGGCAGGAGGAAAGAGAAAGTCCATTTTGAAGGCTGACACGGATGTACTAGTGCCTCTCCTAAAGCTGGTCTATCAGGTACACAATGTTGGGATGTAATCCCTGTGAGGTTTATCAAAGAATCAAAGTCCAAATTTATGTGAAAAGAAATTGGGGAAATGGGAGTATTGAAGACTGATGGAATGTTGCTACTTAAGTCTAAAATGTACATTTTGGAAGAGACTACAGGATAAAGTGCCAATGGCTGAAAGCTGAACATTTTGGTGCACAAGCCATCACCCTGCTGAGATTTTATCTTCATGTTAATGCATGAAAAAACTTCTAGTAGTCTTTTAGATCTAGTTTGTCTGGACCTTTCAATCATTGGTAGTTCAGAGGAACATTGCAGAGTCTTTAACTTGTGGCTGCTTTTGGGTAAGGCCAGTAAATTACTGGCCATTGTAGACAGTCTGCTTAGTAGTGTTGGTTCTTTGGTACATTTACTAAGTTTCAAACGGTTCAACAAACTGCACTTATTGGCTTTCTTCTTTGACATGAGGTTCAGTCTCCTGGCTATTTCTACTTTCTTTGCTGATCGTGTACGTGCAAAATATATAGGGCTGAGAAGGTTGTGTTCTTGCATAGGAACAGCATCAGGGGAATTCCTTTTAAAAGCTGAGCTTTTAACTTTTTTATTCTCTCTCACAGTTTTAAGTTCATCCCATGTGGGAGTTTTTACGCACTTCCTTTTTGTCTGCTGCTTTACTGGGAAAAGTCTTTTTGATTTGCATGTGTTTCTAAAGGCACCATGGATTTCATCATCCTTAGCAAAGCTTTTAGCTTGTGGTAGTGAGAGAGGAAAAGGAACAAGAGGGGTATTATCTGCTGACAATTCAATGCGAGACCCTAAATGAACACTCAGGCTTTCCACTTCTGAGGCCATAGTCTTCATATGCTCTGAATCATCATTCTTAGAAATCTTTGGCCTTTTGACTTCTTGTAAAGTGCTATATATTTGTTTATCATCACTAATACTGCTTATGGCAGCAAAGAACTGCTTTCTAGGACTTTCAGTCTTCGTAACTACTGAAGATACCACCAATTCATCTGAAGCTTCTAAAGACTCAGTATCATACACCACACTGCCCTGAAATGGGATTTTTGCTGACTCTTGGTCTTTTGACTCCTGTATTTGTTGCATGTGTCCCACATGGAGTAGAAAGTTTCGAGCTGGACATACTTCAGTTTCTTCACACATCTGTTGCTTAAGAGCTTGGACAAAGTAGGTGAACGCCAGTCTTTCTGCATCAGGCACCTCATTTTCTGCACTGACTGAGTCATGTGGAGTCTTCATTGAGTCTCTAACTTCATTGCTGTTGTCTTTGCTGTGTGAACTTAATTCATAAGACTGACACACTTCACTGAAATCGAGACATTTTAAAGATGCTTCTGTGTCATTTTTTGATGGCTTCCTGCTATCTGTTGTCTGATGGATGTCTGATGTCTCACTGTTAATTAAGTCTTTAGACTCCAGATAACTGTCTACAGTTTCTGAAAGCAACTTAACACTTACTAATTCTGAGTGATCGGCGACACAATCACTATTATCAGATGAAGTTACATCCATCTCTTTTACAACTGGCTCGCTATCCCCTGCACTTACAGAACTCTCACTGCTGCGAGCATGACTTGCCGTATACACTTCTAATTTAACTTCATTTAGGGAGCCAATTGCTTTCTCTCTCGCTTCAGATGAGCTGTCACTGCTATCAGTTCTTCTCTCAAGTGTCTGCACAAGAGGGTCTGTAGCAGAGTAGTCATTACAGAGGGCATGCGTTGAAGATGAATCCTGGTCAGCTATTTGTACATTCCAAGATGTTGCAAGCAGTTCATCTCTTTGTGGTAGGCAGATTTCTGAGCTCAGAGCTAAAGGGGTTTCAGAAATTACATCTTTAGCACTGGAAAGCTCTTGGTTCACACAGAATTCTTCTGACTGCACTGGGTTCTTGCTCTCTGGACCATCAGCAACTGTAAAAGTCACAAATCCTGACTGAGGACAAGTTTTCTTTATTTCTACAATTCTATGATTTACTGCAGAATCCAACAGTAAGCAGGTTTCTCTTCTGATTCCTGGAATGATAGCTGTTTCTTCTGGCACACATGAAAGACTCTTGGAGGCTGAAAGAAAGACAGAAAAGGAATCAACAATGGTCTTAATTTTATTTTCTGGATCCATAACCAAGCTACCAATGTTCACTAATGGAGAAAGTTTGGAATTTTCTACCAGTATTGTATATTCTTTTTGATCCTCCTTTGCACTACTGACAGAGTCTGTGTATTCTGAATGGTCTGCATTTACTGTACTGTCTTTAAAAATTCCATGATCTTCCCTGGAACCGGCACCTACATTATTGGATTCTTTTAATTCTACTTTCTTTGCTTCTGATGAATCACTGATGACTGTATATTCTGATAAGTCTGTATCTACCATAATTTTTTGGTAAGGTCCTTGAAAAATCTTTTCTTCTAAAAACTCATGAATCAATCGAGTTCTCTTTTCATCTTTTAGAGTTAACAATTCATTTTCCTTGGAGGAGATTGCTCTCACAGGTTGTTCCACTGAACTTGTTATAGTTTGCACACCAGTGTTTGATATGTGCTTTGAGTTGTCCAAGTCACAGTGTTGGAACTCTAGAACTTCATTTGCTACCCGGGTTTCATTTTGCTTGTGAGAAACTGGTCCAATAAGCTCAATTTGACACGCAAGATTTTGATTTTCCACCTGACAAACAGTATCATTTAGTTGCTCTGAATGTTGAAAACATGACAATTCTAAATCAAAGGATTGCTTAGAACATGTTTTGTGACTTGGAATACTGGAGTCTGCATCACTCTTTGAAACAGTGTCTTCAGAGAGATGGTATTCACAAGGTAATGCAGTCGTCTTGTACATCTTTAGTTCTCTCTCTCCCAGGACCACTGTTGTGTTGTATATTTGGTGTCCATCTTGATCCTTGCTTTTGTTCACATCTGTGCTGACTGACTGCTCACTGGCCTCATCATGGTGACTGTCTTTGTAAGCGTTTACACTATCCAGAATTTCTATTTTATCCTTTTCATCTTTCTGTAATGCACAAGAGTTAATCTGTTCTTGTCCCTTACCCGTAACAGTAATTTTTTCTATGTTGTCAGAATCTAGCCTTTCCTTTGTATTTTCACAAGCATCATCATAGCGTTTCAAGCTTTCTACCTCAATATTTGTATTTGAACTCTTCACTTCCAATGAGTCCATTATTAGATCATCAAGAATGCCAGCTGAATGCAACAACCTTTCTGCTGCGGAAGTATAATTTGGCATCTTCTTAAACACACAATTGCAATTCCAATCATCTGCACGAGGAACAGATTCACATGCTAAATGAATGTTCTCCTCAGGAAGGCTGACTGCTTTTTCATCATTAGGTACAAGTAACTGTTGTGTTTCCAAGCAAGTAGCTTTTTCAGTCTTCAACTCAATCTGAGCTTTAAAAGAATCCTTGTTCAGCATAGCATTATCCAAGCTGGTACCATCAGATAAGATGAAACAGTCCTTAACAGCTGAACAGTGGTATTCCATATACTGGTCATTATGAATACACGTGTCACTTTTTTCATTTTCCATATTGGTGACAATCTTCTTTGTATGCCTCAGTACAGAGTTCATGCTTTTCTGGGAACCTTTACTTGTTACATAAGTAATATTGAAACTATGATTTGCTAAAGACAATTCTTCATTCTTAAGCTGAAGGCCCACAGATTGTGCTTCCAGCTTTGCAGAAGCAAGGAGGGGTATGTTTTTAGGTAGCCTGTCCAGGCACAAATCTCTGTTTGAAACTGCATCGGCATTACCATAATAAGGTTCACTTGGAAGCCCCTGAGGTACTCTTGATTCTTTTGCATCATGACCAAGAGCTTCACTTGATGTGCAAGTAAAGTCTGTTTCTTTGTACGTAGGCAGGTTGACATTAACACCAATTGCTTCTGGAGTTTTTTCAGAACTATTATCCAGATCTTCTATCACTGAACTGCTGCTAACTTCTTTTTCAACCAGTGGTGCTTCAAGAAAAACATCATCCAACTTGGTGCCATAGTCCAGAGAGTCATGAACAGTGGGAAGAGAGTTTGCATATTTATTGTAGCCATTACTAGAACATGTATGCAAGTCTCCAGTCTCAATACTGACAAGGTTTTTTGTATTCACCAATAAAGTGTTATTTTCCTTTGTACATCGTTTTACTACACCACCCCAACATACATCATTAATACCTATTTGCCACTGGTTCCCATCCTTTTTAAAGTTAATTTCTGAAGAGATTAAGTCTCCTGGTGGAAATTCTGCTGATGAAGCAACAGAACTAGGAATTGGCAAATCAGAGCTCTCTGAATGAACGTCATGCCCATTATTCATGTCACAACTGTTCTTTGTTGCAGTTTCTCTCCTGATTTCAGCAACTTTCCCATAACCACAACTGGGTGAATGGTCAGTGCAACTATCCATTTCCAATTGTTCAGCCTTATCAGTGGCTATTTCTCCACTCTGGACTGGAGAGAGCTGTTCTTCCATCACAGGTCTGGAGATCCAGTTCTTCAGAAATTCAGTTCTTTGACTACCACCATTACAACTTGGTCTCTCTCTTTCATTAGCAAGATATGCTTCCTGTATTTCACAGAACTCAGTGTTCTCTTCTAGTGGCATATTTTCAGAATCCAGACCACACAAACTCTTCAGTGGAGCCCTTAAAGCTTCAGAACTTTCTTTTGAGAGAGGTATATCAACTTCACTACTTTGAGATATATGAAAAGCACTGTAGTTATGCGGGTTGTTTTCTTCATCTTGCTCATAAGTCTGGTAACTGGCAGGTGTTATATTACTTTCATTAACATGGCTTGATCTAAACAAGCCTATTTCTCCAGTCTCCGAATAAGAGATTGTACAATCCCTTGTGGTCAATGATATAGTAGTACAGGTTGTTAATCCTTTATATTCTTTTTCTTCGTGAGGATATTCTTTTGTTGAGCCAGTCTCCACAACTGTTAAAGGCTCTATGGAAAATAAAGTACTGGTTTCTGAAACCTCACCACTGGCCGTGATAACGTCTATATCTGGGCATTCATTTGTCTCAGTTGGAAGACCTTTACTCACTCTGTAATTCCCGTGTCCTGCTTTACTAAATATCCTAGTCCCAACAGCCTTCATACCTTGTATTTCTTCAGTGGGCTTTGGCAGAATTTCAGGTGTCACCTGTACATTTGTTTGGTTTTCTTCTGCACAAGAAAAAAATAAAAATTTAGTACTGCACACTAAATTAAAAACAGTTCCATCTTACTTTCTTCATTACTCAACATTTAATATACAGTTATGAGCAGTACAGTTTTGCTAATACTTAATGATAACTTTGACAAACCCCACCATCACTCTGTTTTGCAACATATCAAAATTCTCATTGAATCTTAACTGTAAAACCCATGGATTCTGAGCAAAACTAGTATGGATCCAATATTCTGTATTTTCAGGTTGCTGACATTCCAGAGTTCAGAGCCAGAGATCTTTGAGTTCTATAAAATTAGTGGCAGTGCTTATTTTCAGTAGCATTTTTCTCTGAAGAACTGCAAATTAACACAAGTAGACAAGATGTGTATTTAAATCATCTGAGGGGAATTAATTTACTCCCCTAACTGTTTAATGGGAAGATTAAAAAGTCTCCTCTTACTATAACTTTTGTACTGGCTACTACTATTCTTGTGCAGACAAGGAACTAGAGGAAGACATGTATGCACAGTTTAAATGAAATTTTGCAATGGAGCAACTATTTCAAGAATGTTTTGAATTTTTATTTCTCTGTAAGCTTTCCCCCTCCCCCTCTCAGGCACTCCCTTTATTACCTTCTCCCACTCTGGAAAAGAAGGATTTTCCTTTTAGCAGCCTCTACTTATGTGCCAATTAACCCCTGTCTCCTTCCACTCATTTCATTTGAAATTTTTTCCTACTTTGGTAAATCTGGATTAGGAATCCAAGACCTTTTAGTACAGGTGTTCAGTATGTTATGTTAAGACTGTCAAAGATATCTCATGCTCCATGAATACACTTAGCATTCTATTTATTCTCCGTCACTACTTAATACCTGGAAAGTGCCACCGTGTGCAGAACTCCTCCACCAAGGAAAGCATCCAATGAAGCTTGCAGGTCTATCTTAAAGAACTAGTAAACATATGAGTAGAGGTTCAATTGCATGCCTTACAATTTCCCTTATAAGTACTGCAGTGCGTATCTGCCCATAGAGCCGTCACAGCTCTTACAGGTAAAGGAGCTAGCCTTGAAGGAGTGTAAGAATTCAAGCTTTAGAAGTTTGATCCACTCACTTTGATCCACTCAGGTACAGACACCTAAAAGGCTATCTGGATCACCAGGCAGCTGGTACAAAATGAAGATACTGTAAGATCAGACTGTACCAAGATGTACTGTATATTTGGAGTGCCATTCTGACACCTACAGAAGATTCTGCACTAGTGCAATATTCCACATACCAGTGGCGTAGCCAGAAGGGCTCATTTGGGAGAGCCCTGATTTCAGGTGGGTGGGCAATGCTGGAATAATTGCCTCCACCTGGCTGAGTGCAGTAAGCCCCAGTTCCCAGATCCTGTTCCTTGACAGCAGTACTTTGCAGAGCGGGATAAACCCCAGCTCCACTCCCCTGCTAGAGCGCTGGATGAGTTGGCTGGGGTGAGCCTGGAAGCAAATAGGGTAGGCCACGGCTCACTTAGAGTCACCTGTGGCAATACACGTCAAAGATTAATTAGCCATCATTTCTATCTTTCTGGTGTCAGGACAGAACAAAGTTTTATCTTCTGTTGAATCCAGTGCACTGAATAGGGTTGCAATGTGGGATTTTACAATTGGATATTTTAGATATATTGTCAAGTCCTGATCTAGGGACTTCAGAACACATATTTGGTTTGACATGCACTGCATAACTGAACTTATTGGTTCTTGAACCCATGACCAGATTCTAGACTAGAGAGTGCTGGGCAACCTCATGTGATGTAGGTAAGGTGGTGAAGGAGGCCAGCCTGTCCCTTTTCAATTATTTCTTTTCTTCGAGTGCCGTGTAGCTAAACATCACTTTTCTCGCTCAGGCTCAGAACTGGACTTACAAAATGTATAAATTCTCCTGAAGAAAGGAACAGACAGAACAATAGACTAATCAGATCAGAAGATCAAGGTTCTTTGGCCACTAAGACAATCAGAATCACCTTGGTCCTCTTCTTGCTGATTGTATAATTTTGCAGAGTATGAACACAGGTGGCAAGACAAAAAAGCTGAAATTCTCGCTTGGACTAAATATTAATTCCCTTGGTGTTCCTTTTCCTGGAAAGAAATCTAGGTGACTTTTTGCTCAATCTTGACATAACTAAATCCAGTGAGAGTTGATCAAAAACCTGATGTGCAATTACAAAATAGAGATGAAGGGTCCTCTTTTTTGAGCCTATTAACTGTTGGTGTGTTTAGCTAGTTTATCATGACAGTAGAATTTCATTTTATGAGCCCGTGTCATGGTTCCTTCCTCCTTTTGTACTGGTTTCTCCTTTGTGTATGCATGCCAGCTGCTCAGGTGTCATTTACAGATATCAAAATGCTGTTCAGGTTCAGTAACCCTTTGACCAACTAGACATATTGTTCTTTAGTCACTTGCACAGAGAATTAACCATCTTTCCTGGAACTTAGGTGCCACAGGTTGATAAAACTGGTGAGATATACCAAGACAATGAGAGAAGAAAATGGACAATTTCATAGAGAGAGTCCTGTCCAAACAGCATAACATTTAGTAGAAACAGTCTTGGGCTTTTTTCAGTTCCCTATAAGCAATAAAGCTTTCTTTTGTGAAATTAAATGGATGAGGCAGTCAGCTGTAAACTATTTTGGCTAGAAAAGTATGTAGCTCAAGCATGCACAAAAAATTCATGATTACCTTAGGCTTTATTCTTAAATATGGTATACTATATATGTATAGTTTATTCCATACATACATGTTAGGAAGCAATAAAAAAGGATAGAGAATAAGACAGAATATTTTATTGCCTCTATATAAAACCATGGTATGCCCACATCTTGAATACTGCATACAGATGTGGTTGCCTCATCTCAAAAAAAAGATATATCGGCATTGAAAAAGGTTCAGAAAGAGGGCAACAAAAATGATTTGGGGTTTGAAATGGGTACCATATGAAGAGAGATTAAAAAGACTTGGACTTTTCAATTTAGTCACCTCTTTTCTAAGGGGGGATATTATGGAGGTCTATAAAATCATGACCTGTGTGGAGAAGTGAATAAGTTATTTACTTGTTCCCAGAACATTAGAACTAGGAGTAGCCTAATAAATAAGCAGCAAGTTTAAAACAAAAGGAAGCTTTTCTTCATACAGCACACTCCTTCTTGCAGAGGATGTTGTGAAGACCAAGATTTTAACAGGGTTTAAAAAAAACACTGTACATAATTCAGAAATGTTATCAGTGTATATACAGAAGGCATAGAATTAAAGGCTGCATGTGCAATCTTAACTGAACATTTTCTGACTTGACTATTAGAGCGGCAAGTATAAGGGTTTCTTAACTTTAATTTTTTTTGAAGTAGATAAATCCAAGATCTGCTGACTTTTTAAAAAAACAAATTCCATAATCTGGAACCTACCTGATTTAACACCACTATAATTCCTTCTCCCAACCACCTTCTGAGATTTATAAGATTGAAGGCCCCTGCCTTGGTACCATGCAAAACATGCAACAGCCCTCCTTGGTCTCTTTGGGAGTGTGTCTGAAATAAGATACGCAATTTGCATAGCTCAATTTGCTTATTTTGTCACTTGCCGCCATCTACACAGTGCCAAATTTTGAAATAAAGCACAATTCCGAAACATCCCTTAACCTCATTCTACAAGGAGTAACAGGGAGTCTGAAGTAATGGGCTTGCTGTGAAGACATGGGATAGCTATTTCGGGATACTCCAAAATCCCGAAATAACATTGCAGCATAGATGTACTCTT